GCGCAAATTAACTCCCAATAACAATTAACGCACAATTAAGTATTAATTAAGCATAAAATTGTATATTTGGACATTAAATGCTAAAAATGCAAACGATGCCTATTTTTGTAATTTTTAATTTTTGTAAAACAATTTTAATTACTATCAATTGTAGAATTAAATCCTACATGCAAAATGCGACATATTTTTGTATTTTTTATTAATTTAGCGAATAAACACGCACAGACAAATACAAATAATTCTTCAAAATATCACAAAATTGCACACCAAAGAAAAATTATTTTATTTTTGAATTTTTTGGGAGTAATTCTCTTATAGGGCAAAAATCACGTGCTTACACCATTTACCAAAGTCTAGATGCTAAATGGATTGAAGATTTATTGGACAAATCCGCGAGGCTTCTTGATGTTTGTTGCACTATAAGGGAACTTGTCTCGCAATATAAAGAAAATGTAAGAGATCTTCAATCATCTCTCAGAAGGAGAAAAGGAGATTCAACTACAGATGACAGTGTTGCCAGATTTACCTCTTTCAGCAAGAAGATCAAGAGGGATGCCAAAATATTAGTCTTGACTTTGAAACAAATGGATCAAGAGACTGCAGTATCAGTCTTGCCAGATGCAGATGAAGATACAATAGATGCGATTAGAGCACTAAGAGAAGCTAATGCAGTATGCATTTCAACTTTCCAAATGCTCTTGTCCTTCCTGTGTGTGCCACTTTTGAAGCCAAAGCAATCAAAATGGTCATTGCTTTCAAGATTGGTACACAAAGACAGAATAGCACCTGAAGTTCAAGAAGAAAACGCGAGCTTAGAAACCAGGCTGGAAACCTTCGGGCCGTACCTTGACAGCTTTGAAAATACGCTGGAAGCCACATTTAGGTGCTTGATCAGATCTAGAAGCTCGCTCCTCAATGTTCTTTCTTGTTAATCTGGCAGTTGTTGTTCCATACTCTGTAAATTGTATATAAACAGTTTTGTAGTTAGAAATATATAAATTTCAAGTGAAAGATTATACACCATTTATTGCCTCTATCTCTCTCTCTCTGATCAAAATTTAAAAGGTTATGCCTGTGAGTTTCAGCGCAAAGAAAGCACTTAGCAGTATTTCTCCATACCTGATATCAGGTTAAGTTTGTGTCTCAAATATCTCGATATCCATTGAAATGGTCCTCTTTAGACTAGATGGGGAAACAGATAAAACGCATAGCATATTCATTACATACTTTCTCTGCATAATTGGCTTCAAAGATCAAACTAATGAAGGGCCATAATCTGGATGAAATGTTTCTTCCTTATGCTCCTTATCCACCATACTTTAGGCATCACCGATAAATTAGGAATATAGCTTATGATTTGCTTATCTTACTTCATAGTCCATCTAGATATGGAGACCACTGTAACTATGACAATCTTGATATCATCTGTCTTCCTTCTGAGATAATTGGAAGCAGTAGATCTAATCAGAATGCTTATCCTATGTCCTTTTTCTTCTAGATCCTTAGCCAAATTCAACAAAGAAAACAAAATGAAGATCTAGCACAAGGATCTGGCACCAGATCAGCGGGCAAAGCAGCCAACCTACCATTCTTTCGAACATATAAATGGAGCAATTAACAATGCCACTTTGCTCGACTCAATATCAATTTAGTATAAAGTGGCATTGCTCAGCAAGCTTAATTGCATTTCTCCCAAAAGATCCTCTAGCAGTCCCTGAAAACAACAATATGTACGCTCCCCAGAAATAGATTTGAAGTGTGGATAGAACTCTTTTGAGGCTCAGCTGACAACTTCGAATATAGTCCCAAGGAACATAGGTGCCTGATTACATTGCAGAGTTCTCTTCTCATGCTAATCGGGAAACTTCTATTGCACTGATCTGAAGTTGGCTAGACATTTTTCACATATATAATGTCATGGGCACGGCGCCCCTGGTAGCTTCTAAATGTGTAGTGCCATGGACAGGCCCACTAGACTTCCTTAGCCAACTAAGTGTGCCCCTGCCTATGTCAGAGATCTTCAATCCTCTATCAGATGGAGAAAAGGGTATCACTTAAGTACAGAAGCCAGCTTTACCAGATCACCTCCTTCGGCAAGAAGATTGAGGAGCCAAAAGTCTTCCTGGTCTTAACTCTTAAAAATAGATGAATATATTGAGGAATCAGAATTCCAAGATTCAGATATATGATTACAGTACTAAGGGAAGCCAACGTAGCATGCATTTCAATTTTGCAAATGCTCTTGCTACTTCTTATCTGTCCAAGTTTTAAAGTCAAACTCGTCTAAATGGCACTGGTTTTGAGATTGGTGCATAAGGGAAGAATAGCATGTGAAAGTCGAGCAGATAACATTAACTTTGAAACTAGGCTGGAATCCTTCGATGGTCGCCTTGAGAGTTTTAATGATGGATTAGAAGGAGCATTTAGGTGCCTGATTGGATTGAGGAGCTCTCTCCTGAATATATTCTCTCCTTGTGGCTCAATATGCATTCTCATGTGTTCCTTCCCCTGCGTACTTAAAAATAAGATATATCGGAAAGAATGTGAAACTCATGGATTGTACCTTTTAAAAGTTTGCTAGTAAAAAATGTAAAACTTCGTTCTCTTTGCCCTGGAGGGTGAGTTGTGTAGGAAAACAACTATGCAGTCAATAATTTAGTAAACATTAAACAAGCACAGCATAACCAGCCATACATGGATGCACAAAATTCAATATTTTTATTTCCAATACACTCGTGTATCAATTATTGATTTAATTAAAAATTGCTCTTTCAGTGAAGCATCCTGAAGAAGCTACCTACCGCTGGACTAATTAAAAGGATGAACATCATAGCCATATCTTGGGCATCTTTAATCAAGTCAAGAAGGAGGAGTTCTTAGCTGTAACTTCCAGATGGAGCCAAGGAAAATAGCAGGATATGAATGTACCGACATATATTAATTAGTTCTGTCCACAATTTATTGGAAGCATTACATCTAGTCCAGGAGCTTATACAGATATGCTTCCAACCCCTTGCCAACCAAATCCAAAAGAAAAAATCCCATACGTGTACAACTCCATAAGATAAACTTCAGTCGTGCATTTTGAATTTTATAGTTGATCTACTAGCCCCTCTGAGATCTTGACACCTTAAAATATTCCCATTATTCTGTCATTATTTACATTTCAATTATCTAAATATTATGTATTCTGGTAGTTGATGGATTTAAGCCTTTATGGAGGAGACAGCCTTACCTAGCCACCTATTACATGACAGAGACTAACTAAACAACTGAACAAATAAAGTAGGCTTCTTGAAGTTGATGCATCTTCAATCAAATAATATCAATAGAAAAGTTTTTTTTCATAGTATTGGCACCATTTCTGGAAACAGAAAGAGGCAAATCATGCAAACACTTACATGATAATTATATGCCTCATGTTCACCTTATAACTACGAGGATTAATGAAAGTAATCAGTACAACCTTTTGTTGGCCAAATGTGCAGCAGGTTTACAAGTTCCAAAAAGATCCAGCTGCGCATCACATGCTGATTTAATTAGGCCATTGCTCATCTTGTCTCCTCCCATGGTTGTTTTCCTAAATACCAAGTCTCAAAATTAAATTCCATCAAAACTTTGTGAAATCCCCTAATCTGAAAGAAAACCATAAGAAATGGCTTCACTTTCTTCAAAATCAAATCACGTTCGATCAATCAGTTTGCCTAGTTTGCCTGGGAGATCACACCCTACCATCCAGAGAGTTGAAGAGGAGCTAAAGAAGCTCAAATCATTAGAAGTATCTGTTGCACCAACAACAGTGAGCAATGGTCTAAAAGGTTTGGAGAAATTGTACAAGTGCATAGATGATCTTCTCAACTTGCCTCAAACCCTTCATGCCCTCTCCCAAAGTCTACATGCAAAATGGGTTGAAGATCTATTGGATAAATCAATGAGGCTTCTTGATCTGTGTGGCACTGCAAGGGAACTTGTATCACAATGCAAAGAAAATGTAAGAGATCTCCAATCCTCCCTCAGGAGGAGAAAAGGAGATTCAACCACAGATGACAACGTTACCAGATTTACCTCTTTCAGCAAGAAGATCAAGAGGGATGCCAAAAGATTAGTATTTACCTTGAAAAAAATGGATCAAGACACTACAGTATCTGTTTTGCTAGATGCAGATCAAGATACAATAGCTGTGATTAGCACTAAAAGAAGCTAATGCAGAATGCATTTCAACTTTCCAAATGCTCTTGTCCTTCTTGTGTGTACCACTTTTGAAGCCTAAGGAATCTAAATGGCCACAGCTTTCAAGATTGGTAAACAAAGAAAGAATAGCATCACTAGTCTTAGAAGAAAAGATGAGCTTAGAAACCAGGCTCGAAAGCTTTGAGACGTATCTTGTCAGCTTCGAAGATGGATTGGAAGCAACATTTAGATGCCTTTATAGATCTAGAAGCTCGCTACTCAATGTTTTCTCCTGCTAATCTGGCAGTTGTTATTCCATATGCTGTAAATTGTATATACACAGTTTTGTAGTTATGTGAGAAATATACAATCTTCCAGCGATTGGTTATACATCAATGTCATGTCTCTTTCTCTCTATATATATCTATATATTATATTATACATGAATATTGCCATAAACTGTGCAGTAGGACTGTAATTCAAATACCTGAATGGAGTCCAAATTTAACAGGTTATGCTTATGACTTTCAGCATCTAGAAAGAATCCTGCAGCATTGTCTAAATCTGATGTCAGGTTAAGTTTTATCCAGAAAATAGCTCAAAATTTCATTGAAATGATTCTCCTTAAACTAGAGGAGAAGCAGATATAACTAATAGCAGATAATTTACATACTTCCATTGCATGATTAGTGAAATGATCAAACCAATGAGTGAATGAGAAAATTCTATGACTCCTAAATCAATATTAAAGGGTAAGAAGCCACTTGTCTACATTTGGAAAAAAGTATTGCTTCCTTATTCTTCTTATACACCATTCTAAAACAACGATAATTTACTAGGGATATATAATATTGTGAATGATCTCTGTTTCTATTTGGTTCATAGTCATCTAGCTATGGAGACCACCACAGATTTGACCAAATTGATTCCTAATCTCCCTGAATTTGTTCTTAAGATTAGTGGAAGCATTAGACCTAAATCCTAGTCAAGAAGGTTTCATATATCCTTTATCTTCTTCCTGCCTCCCCAAGGGAATTCAACAAAAAAAATGGGGATTGAAATGCAGGTTGTTGGAGCACTATCACAAGGATTTTGCATCAGATAGGCAACCAAAGTGACAGAGTGCTCTCTCGAACATATCAGCACTATAGGCAGTAATGCCACTTTACTCAACACAACATCAGTTTGATATGAATGACCTAAGAGTTTGGTGGCATTATTCAGCAAGTTTAATTGCTTTGCTCCCAATAGATTTACTAGCTGGTCTGAAAAGCAATACCGTGACATGCTTCCAAAATAGAGCTAATGCAAAACTTGACAAAGCTAAAATGTGGGAAGTACAATTAGCCCTACCAGAATACATGATACATGAACAATGCTGCAGCTACAATCATAAAAGAAAAAGAATAAGTAGAAAAGAAACAGAACGATCAGGCTATACGTTGCACAAAGAAAATTTTACTCATATATGTATCTACTTTGAAATTTACATTTGATCTATTAAATCCATTTCATAGGTATGCCTTAATACTAATCTATATCTCTTATCTGAATATGCTTTGTCAATGTAATTGATGGATTGGAGTTGTCAATATACACTGGGTTTAGTACCAGTAGGTTGTTTCTTGCACTCAAGGCGACAATGTCAGAACCAAAAAAAACAGCATAACCATAGTAGAGCAACAGGTATCGGGTTGATATGCCAGTAAGCGTCCAAATATGCAACTAAGGACAGGTTAGGAGAGGGACGACGAGATAGACCAAGAGACAAGGTGCCACTTTAGTAGCAAAGAATAGCCTGATTGCATGAAGACAAGGGTCGCAGTTGTGGTGCACAGATAAGCTCAAGTCCCATTACAAACACAATGCCAGAGGATGGGCAAACTGGAGATATCACTCTACCTATGATACTAGATATATCATATATGAGGGCTTCATGAACAGAAAGGAAGGGTAGGCGCCGTCTTACAGGTCTTTCATTTAAATCCAACTAAGGTAGTGTGCATCTAAATAAGGGGGGTACAAAAATAGCTTTCACATACAAACATGAGGGCGAAATATATAATTCTCATATCTTCTTAAGTGTCTCTTAGTTCTGATGATGAGTAAGCATTTTGTACCATTGATTCTGCTTGAGAAAGGCGCTAGTCAACTTCTCCGATTTACTGAAATAAGATTTCATGAACCTACACCTTGATGATAAAATCCATCCCAGTGAAAGAAAAGAACATTTTTATAAAAGAAACCATCAAACTGAAATCTGGTAACATGTTGTCACTATAATTTACAAGCAACTGAAACAAAGAAGGTAAATCAACAAGAAGTTATATCCGAACAGCAAACAAAATCAAATTAATTTTTTTTATTTAAGGCAAACAAAATCAAATGAATAGAAGTAAGACAGAAATTATCGTGACAACATGTTTTACAAAATAATACAACAAAGGAAGAAAAAGTCCAACTAACCTATTAGGAAGAACCAATGTTTGTCTTCTTTCATATCCTTCTGTTTGTGTACATTACAGTATATAGAAGAGGGGTAAGCTTCCAGCTACAATAGAACCCTATATGTTCAATAAAACATCAAAGACACTCACCCATGAAACTTTCACAAGAGCACTGACAAATTCTTTGAAGTCAGAAACTCAACCACCTCGTTCGATCAATTAGTTTGCCGGAAAAAGAGAAAACTCAAAAGGCAGTGATCTTTAAAAGAAATTGTTAACATCGCCCAAATATACGCAGAATTTCTACCCTATGCTCCAACCCAAAAAAGGGTCTTTTTATCAACTTACTCAAAGCAATACGAAGCACAGCCCAAAAGTACATTACGTACCACTAACAATTCAACCAAACAAAGAAATTAAAAGAAGAAAAACATATGTAAAGTTGTAAGTACCAAAAATAGTCAAGTAATACATGAATTTAAGGTTCGAAGGTAGCCCTGAGTCAATTAGGTGATAGATTCTTCTCTCAAAGACGAGCCATGTACGTGCATATGATGAATGAACGCAAAAGGGGGGAAACAATAGTAAAATTCAATAGCCCATTTGTCTTTTTCCTATTCGTTCTTGTTGCCATGTCATCTCGCTCGACCAGGTCAGCTATGCATTCAAAGTTCAAACAGGCCAGTTATACATTCAATAGATACAACAACCCAGTATAATCTCACTTGGGAGGGCTTACCCCTATCCTAGGGTACAGAGACTGTTTCCAAATAGACCTCCGGCATCCTTCCCTCCAAAAACTTCCCACCTTACTCTTGGGAGACTCGAACTCACAACCTTTCGATTGGAAATGTATACATTCAATAGATACATTTATGAAAATGTGAGATGTTCCATAAATATGATCCAAAGTCGACGTATCTAAATAAAAAGTCGTGCTAAGTTGAAGGGCTGCCGATATATTTGGCCTGCTTTTAATTAATCAGACTCATACAACAAAAAGCAAATGTATACAGGTTTCTTTTGTTATCTAATACGTCTAATCCAAGAATATTTTTGAAGATGAAAAAAAACATTTTAGCTCATCCAAGTAGGAATCTTAAAAGCAGGAAACCAATAACAATTTTTCCCGATGACTCACTAGTCATTTGCAAGATCTCTAACACTTGGATACATCAAATTAAAAGAAATAATCCTAGTGTCTGGTCATGATTCTAGATAGGAGCATATCCTTGCTATATTTGCATGCCATAATATAATATATATTTTATTAAACAAAGAAAAGTTAGATAATAACATATTCAGATGCAACAAGTAATATAACGTGTCATTCCGTGATGAGTACTGAACATTGCGACCTTTTGAGCTAAAGAAGCAAAGTTTTCTTGACACTTGTTGATTGCTAATAAGTACATCTGTCCAAAGCTCTTGGATAAAAAGTTGAAGGAAAATCTAAGTGGGACTTTGTGAGGATCTCCGGATAGAATAAATAAATTAAGTGAGATATACTCCTACCATAGAAAACTAAAAAGTAGTAATAATTATTAAAAAGTATGTTCATCCCCTATTTCCTAGACTAGATATGGGTCTCAAGAATTATACTGCTTCACCATCCCCTGGGAATGCAGCCAAAAAATTTACCGACATCACTTGTCAGATCACTTGAACCTTGCACCAAATGTTTATACTATCTGCCCCTATTCAAAACTTTTCTTCCCTTCAAAGCAAACATCTCTAGTTTTTCTCCGTAGATTTGGGATTTCCATGTAAGTGGGAACTCGCTTTAGTTATATAATAATATAATTGAAAGATTTAAGTTATAGTATATGATAGTGGTAACATATCTTTATATTATCAACGAGATTTAACATTTTAATATCTTACTTATAATTTTTACCAAGTTATTATTTATTTGATGTTTGCCATATATTACTTCCGTGGTCCATAATAAGTGATCTTTGGCCTTTTTATTTTGGTCCAAAATAAGTATTTTTTTACATAATCAAGAAGGAATTAATTTTATTTTTGCAAAAGTTGTCCTTATTTACATATTCCAATATGTCAAGGTAACAATTAATTAAGGATAATTTAGCGAATACATCTTTTTTTCTCTAGGAATTCGTATTTTGTTAAGGAATGTGCCAAAAACTAAAAAGTTATTTATTATGGACAGAATGTAATTAGACTTGTCATGAGCCGTCTAACTGAAGCAAAATTAGTAACTCAGACTTGTCATGACCCGTCTCTCTGAAACAAAATTAGTAACTATTTCAACTTGCTTTGTAAAAAGTGCATTAATGTTCTCCTAAATTATTGATGGATAGCCCAAAACAGCAAGGTATGGAGGAGAGTCGAGAAAAAGACTATCAACCTAAACAAATTTAATGGCTTGTGACAAGTGTCCTCTCATTTGACATTCAATGAGTGTGTCCAAACCCAACTACTAGCTAGCTAAGTGAGTGGCCATACCTCCTAAACTTTCATTATGCTTATCTTCATAAATGCTCTATTATGCTATGAATTATGATCCTCCAAACTCCTCTTCACCCCACATGCACGTACATTTAAATATACTATTTCCGTGATTAAATATGATACTTCTCAAGTTGCTACTATATCTCTTGCAAATTTGTAACTCTTGAAATCCTTGTTTATTACTAACTCCGATACACAATAAATGATTTTTTTGGTTGTTTTCGTACACATTAATAAATTCATCTTTTAACATTAATTAGCAATAAAATTGATCATATTAACCTTTATTATATCTTCACATAAATATTCCTAACACATACTCCAATACTATTTACTCCAATAGCAACGTAGGAAAAAAAATAATTAATTCATTATTGTAATTTGGAAAAATCAGATATTTTAGATCATAAAAAAAAATAAAAAATCACTTATTGTGAATCGGAGGGAGCATCGTTTTAAGCTTCATTTTGGAGGATCAAGAAAACATGTACATACACGAAAATGTCATACAAACTCCAAGGTCAGTGCAAAAAAGTAGGATTCAGGAACCATATTACAAAGTACAAACTTATAGTCCATCAATTTCCTTGGTATAACTTACAGCATTATTTTGGCAGGTACGTGGACGTGGGAACAGTGAAAGAACATGCCACTCGTGCACAACAACCTTGTATCTTCGTGAGTTGTCTTAACCACAATATCCAACTATACCTTCTAACCACCATATGCAGTACTTATTGATCTTTCTATAGATCTCACTCTTTATGTCTCTAAATTCAATCTTTCTATATGATGTAATATCCAACGCCAAAGTTCCTCCAATCCAGACACTTTTGGGAGCCCACCCCATTACTCTATGTCAACCGACTTTTCTGGATGAATGAACCTTTGTTAAGCCCGAGTTGGCGGTGGTCTAGATGCTTGATAAAGGTGATAATTTAAGCGTAAAAAATCTAAGTTTGTACTACATAAATCCATTAAATAATAAAATAAATTAAAGAGAGATATGCCCTATCCCAATCATTATTAATGTATGACTGATATAGTATGAAAGTAGTAGTACTCTTGTTTGTTGGTTGAAGCCTTGACAGATAGAACCACTACAAAAGAAATTAAAAAACCCACACTGGCTTCACATGTACATCACATTGATACATTATTCCAAATTAACTATTCATTTCTCCTACCTTTTGTCTGCTTCCAAATAGTTTTTGCATATAAAAAGAAGCTAAAGGAATGTTCATGTAACACAACACAATTTGAAATATGAACCTCTCAACAATTCGAACAATGGCTGCTCTTTCCCCTAGGTCTCATTCTCATAGTCCTTATCGTACCCGTTGTGTTAGCTTTCCTGCTAGATCACATCCTAGCACTATCAAGATTGAGCAAGTTCTTAACAAGATTAAAACTTGGGAATCATCTTCTCCTTTATCTCCAAAAGCAGTAGAAAAAACCGACAATGCTTTATCTGGGCTTGTAGAATTATACGAGTGCATAGAGGAACTTCTTGCTCTACCAATGACTCAGAGGGCACTTCTTCAGCATCAAGATGACAATTTTGTGAAGGAGTTGTTGGAAAGATCTGTTAGATTCATAGATATTTGCAGCAACACAAGGGATGCCGTTATGTGTTTGAAGGAAAGCATAAGAGAACTTCAATCTGCGCTTAGGAGAAGCAAAGCAGGGGATGATTTTTTGACCATTGAGGGAAGTGTTACTGCTTATATTTCTTCAAGAAAAAACACTCAGAAGGAAATTGAAAAGTCTCTTACTATGTTGAAACAAATAGATAACACCCCATCAGCAACTAACACAGAATCTCAGCTTTCTGCCATAATAAGGGTCCTTGAAGATGCGAGTTTCACAACCATTTCTACTTTTCAGTCATTGCTAATGTTTCTTTCTGTGCCAGCCTCAAAACCAAAGTCCAATAAATGGTCATTGGTTTCAAAGATTGTGCACAAAGGGGTGTTAGGCAGTGAAGGGCAGAGGGAAAAACTGACTGAGCTGGAGAAAGTGGACACTGCACTTAACAACTTGCTGGACCATGCTTCTGGTTCGGGGCATGAAGAGGAAGTGGAAAGTTTTGAATTTGCACAAAGAAATCTGGAGAATTTGGAGGGTAGCATTGAGGATCTTGAAAATGGATTGGAAATGTTGTTTAGGCTTTTGATTCGTACAAGGGTGTCTCTACTCAACATACTTTCTCTCAGTAGATAAAAAGATAGTGGCAAAAAGTCTCATGCGTCGCAGTTCAAGTTTTTTTGAGGATCTTGAAAATGGATTGGAAATGTTGTTTAGGCTTTTGATTCGTACAAGGGTGTCTCTACTCAACATACTTTCTCTCAGTAGATAAAAAGATAGTGGCAAAAAGTCTCATGCGTCGCAGTTCAAGTTTTTTTGAGGATCTTGAAAATGGATTGGAAATGTTGTTTAGGCTTTTGATTCGTACAAGGGTGTCTCTACTCAACATACTTTCTCTCAGTAGATAAAAAGATAGTGGCAAAAAGTCTCATACGTCGCAGTTCAAGTTTTTTTAATGATTGAATCTGTGATATAGAGTCACTTCTAGTCATTGAGTCATGTAAATGAACATATTGTGTATAGTATTAGCAGCTAAAGGGAAGAGAATTAGGAAACATGGACTAAAGTTTTCCAATTTCCTAATCCTCTTTTCTCCTTATGTCGTAGGCTCGTAGCTCTGTCTGCTTTTTGTGTTATTCCAATTTCTACAGATTAGTGCCAAAATTTTGTAGAGGTGCTAATTCTGGCCAAGATTCGTGATTATTCGGAATTCTATGGATTTAATCCAAATATGTCCAAGTTTGTGTGCAAGTAACAAGTAGGTAAATGGGCTGATCTGGTATGGATAGGCCCATTCAGTATTGGGATTTATTCAATCAATCCTTTAATGGATCTAGTTCCTTCTTGTGTATGAAACATTCTGAAAATTATTGTGAGATGGATATCATAGTAGTCTGCAGGTTGTGTCTAACAAAAATGCGATGTTATCGATAGAACATAGGAAGACATTGAATCATTTACAACTCGAATATGATGTATCTACAACTCTAGACACAAACAAGAGTGTTTCGTTCAATATAAAAGGAAAAATCATCTCCCTGCTGATCCCTAAAGAAAGGGACGACTCATTATTTGGTCAGTATGGAATTGAGTGTAATTGGAAGGGTGTAATTACACTCTCCAATTTTCAAGGGAGGTGAGAATTGGAGGTAATTACACTGTGTAATTATAATGTTGCCTTTTAGTTTCTTTTCCTTTTATTTTTATTTTTATTTTATTTTTTTTCTTTATAACTTTTTTTATATTTTTTACTTTTAATTTTTTTTTTTTTGAATCTTAAAATATATTTTCTTTGTACATTATTTATATTTTATTCTCTACCTTTACTATTTCATGAAATTGCTTATATTTTATTTTTTATTTATTTTATTATTCTATATTTTAAAACTACACCTCCTAATATTAGAAATAATGGGTCATTAACAAACTTGGTATATAATGGGTGATGCAATTAAAGTAAAATTTCGTTGTTGAATGTAGTAATAAATTTATTATGTTTTCTAATCTTAAGTTGTAGTGGAACTTACTACTATTATTATGTTGAAATTTGACATATGTTAAATTATTATTTTTTTGGATTTTAAAATTGTGTTATATTCATGGTTCCAATTTACTTGTTTTAGTAGTATTGGCTCATATTGCATGTTATTCATTTTTTAGTTAGAATTGATAAATTAATTTTGTCAAACATTTGAATAATGTTATGACATTATATTTATAAATATTAATTTATTTTATCAAACATGAATTCTATGATATTTTACAAAAACGTATGTTTTTAGTTTTTATAAGTATCTAAATTAAATATTATTAATTTAGACTATATATAAAAATTATGTTTACAATATTAGTTACAAATATATGATTACTAATTAATGTATATTCACGAAAAATATACATCTTAAATACCAAATATAATATCATTTATACTTATAAAAATTTATAGGCATATATTTATTGTATTAACTTTTAAGTTTTGATAATTACTTTAAATTTTATCTAATCGTGTAATTACACGTGTACAACTAAACAGTAAACTTGTAATTATATTGTAATTATACTATGACAAACAAATAAGTTGTCGTAATTAATAGGCTGTATAATTACTATTCTAATAATTACATCAATTTCAATTACATGGTGGCTTTCCAAACAGACCAGATTTTAAGTAGTAGTTAGTAATCAGACTAAAGTATTTGTGAGTCGTAGTTTATTTTTGTTGCTTCTTATCACATAAGTGCGGAGAAAATTGACAACAGCGTAACCAAATTTTTGGACCAAAATTTGGAAATTATATCATGGAAGAGAAAAGAAAATGATGTGGTACCAAGTGGATGTCCATGCAAATTCCAATGCGCAAGTAAATAGGTTATCATGATCGGTCATAACGCATCATCAAAAATTATATTACAATATCCTCTACATAAAAACTTGTCCGCTTCAATCAAGCTTTCTTTCTTATAACAAAGGAACAATATTTCCTTGAGTAATTCCTAAATGAAACATGAAATTGATATCTTAACGGTGAAGACAGAAATGTGAAAAAGGTCAAACGAAAGCAATGTGAAAAGGAAAAATATTAAAAAACGAAAACGGTGAAGGCAGCAAACAGAATCAGAAAGACATTTTCCTAGGAAGGCCCAAAGCTCACTGTTCGAAACCAACCTTGAGATTTTACCAAATTATGTAAAATACTAAACTTAATTATTATTAGGGAATTTTTAATTACCCAATATAGTACTCCCTGCGTATGAGAATATGATATACAATATACATATAAAATGATATGCGTATTCAGAACTTTAAGAGTATGAATGTGTGTGGGCGAAAATCATCATGCTATATGTTGACCAAGTCAACATGAAGGAAGTCTTCGGAGGATGCCATGTGTCGTCGATAGGATACAATGACCCGACCTCAAAGGATCGACGTCATGAGAAGATAATGGATGTCGACAAGATCGAAGTGACTCGATAGAAGACGAGGACGAGGACGAGCACTCCATTTTGGAAAGCAGTAACGACTAGTTCCTACTATTCCTTAGAGAATATTCCAGTAAATATTCCTCCCAATTGTACTATCTAGGGTTTTGTAGCCCATGTATACTTACAAATATAAGGTCAAATACATCGACAACCCCTTAAAGTTGTCCTCACTTTTCACTCTAACACTCTATCTTAAGTTTGTTCTATTTGAACACTTTAACTAGGCTTTTACTGTGTCATTTAGACACAAAATTTGGTAGACAGCCAAATACAAAAGGTCTGTGTAATTCACACACCAGAGTGACAAATAGGAATGAGACACATTGATTTAACTTAAATAATTTTTTTTTTAAAAAGGCTTTTGAAGAAATAGAAAAAATTTAAGAGAAACAAAAACCCCGCCCCACCGCAGGTCATCTTCCCTAACGACCCCCTCATTCGGTCTTTGTTTCCGGCGACCTCGTCCTATGTTCCACCCTTTTTAGCTAAAATCAAAAATTCATAAATTACAACCCCTCACATAAAGATTGCACCTGCATAGATTCACTTAACTTTTTATTTTTCCTTCAGATTACACAAATCTTGAAAATTGTTCATATGGCTTTGGCATTTCCGGCAAAGTACCGCCCGCAAATTATACCCAGTTAGCACAAGGAGGTTCACGAGCCTACAACAACAAACAGCCGCACATTCCGTCGTCGTTCCACCGACAACCTTTGCGAATCGAGCCCCTTCTGAACCCCACCTCGTGATGACGAATCTTGGCCCAATAAAAGTGGTTGCCGCTGCCGTTCCACCGAAAGTGATGACAATTCACCAATAAAAGTGATGACGGCTAAATCGTGACTCAATTTGGAGATTTACCATTGAAAATTGGAAAAACTTGAAACTAATAATCGAAATTTGAAACCCTCGATTTGTTGATGTTTTGGTTAAATGAATATTAAGGTTTGTTCTTAACATTAATATGAAGTTACCCGTGCAGTTTGGTGTGTTTTGATTAAATATTAAGCTAGTTAGATTTGAAGCACCATTGTCAACCGTCGAAGGAGCTGGGTTAATTCAGATCTATATTTTTTTTGAATATTTACAAAGTGGGCATTGTTTTATTTTGATGGAGGATTAAATCTGGCTTATCAATACTTGACTAAAATCGAAAGAATCTTAATTTCCCCCTCAAAATGGCTTCGGTGAATATGGTGATGGAAGTCGGCGACACGGTGATTGTAGTGGGTTAAAGGGAGGATGAACAAGAGAAATATAATTTTTTAAAAAGAATGTCTTTTTTTCTTTTATCGACACCTGTACTTTGGGCCCACATTAATGGCCTTATATATGCAGTTCACGCTCTTAATGGAGGTGTGAATTACGCACAATGACATGTCAGCTATAGGTGTCTAAATGACACAATAAAAGTCTAGTTAAATTGTTCAAATGGAACAAATTTAAAATAGAGTGTCAGAGTGAAAAGTAAGGACAACTTTAAGGGGTTGTCGATGTATTTGACCCAAATAGAAAGATATATAGTTATAGATAGGATTTAACACTTTTTGTAAAGAACAACACATTGACATTTTCTGGAGATTCTCTCTTTATCATATACATACAAAGTTCACCTTTTTACATATTTATCTATCTTTTCTTTCCCGATCGAAATATTTAGATACTTATCATTATTCATCACTGTCGGTGGAATTAATAGGAAGTCTCACCTTTGTCGTGTGACTTCTACTCATTTATTATTATTTATTAGCATCTTTCATATTCTTGAGTCACTCATTACACCATTATTGTTACATTTTATTGCTATCCAACAACACATGTGGGATATTTTTTCATAAATACACCTGGTCTATCATTTAGATATTAATATTGGCTAAGAGTAACCCTTTCACATTATAAATCTAATTGTATAAACCTAAATCTAAATTTTGGGTCATACACTCTCTACTTTTTAAAAATCCAAAAATTCAATTAAATCGAATAAATATTATCTTATTTTTATATGTGGAAAAAAAATCCCAACCTTGAATCTAACATCGGATCCTCGAAGGCCCATAATAAGAGCCCTAGAAACGATGTAGTAAAATGCCAAATCGTCAATAAAATAACGGCTCTTTAGTCTAATGTCGGTCGTGGCTCCTCGCTGGGCCCCTCTAAAATTGCCACGTCGTCCATTCTCATTATTTTGATTATCTTTTTCACCCATTCTCATTGTTTTATACTCATCATATTTTCTGTACAGCCCAGACGACCGTTACACATACCACTCTGTCTGTCTCTTCTTCACTACCATCCCACCATTAACACCCTTCTCACAACTTGCTTTACTCTTTTATTGAGGAAGAAATGACAGCAGCAAGCGTTGCCACCAAGCACTGCAAGAAGGCCATGAAGATGGGTCTATCTCTCTTCTGTAGAACATTCAATTCCTCTAGATGGTGAATTTCCCTATGCCCACCTAAACTTTATTTCTTGGAAAAAAGAAATCAAATTTACTGTAACTTTGTTATTGTTCTTGTGTGTGTGTATGCAGCAAGACAATGGCGAAGATGGCGGTGGCGAGGATTAAATTGTTGAGGAACAAGAGGGAGGTGGTTGTACGGCAAATGAGGAGAGACATTGCTATGCTTCTTGAGTCCCGTCAGGATGCCACTGCTCGTATTCGGGTAATCTTTCGTTCTTCTGAATTCT